TATTTGGTTATGATTCACAAATGAATAGTTGCATGTTAGGAAAATTTTATTCTGTATGATAATCAATTCAAAAGATGACACTTGAATGCTCATTGACCGTTCTTGATGTTTACCAGACCCAGTACTCGAACCAAGGTAGCTGCGTGTGGATTCTGCTAAGTTCTAAATTAAGCTGTTGAGTCGTCTATCCATAAACTTATAATTATTGTGAGCTTAGTATATGAGTTTGCTGACAACGAAGTATCTAGTCTTTCTGCAATAAGGAGCGATGAATTATTCATTAAGTTGTTTCGTTGTCCTTAAACTTAAAATTGTGAGCTTCATAAAGCTGAATATTCGATTCTACAACGACGTTGTCATTCAAAAACTAAGGAAGTACCAATTTTTTTTTGGTTCCATTTAAGCAAATGATTGTCCAAGGTATTTTTTGGAGAACCAGTTTTCAGCGTTATGACAGCACCGCCATTTTCTGGTTACCGCTTTTGCAGTTACATTAATGAATCGTAACATTCATATTAAGTTTTTGTGCAGATGTGTTTTAAATGTTTTAGATACAGGTTCGACATATTTGTGAAATATCTATACTGTTTATCTAACATTTGAACTTATGGCAAGTTAAAAATATTTAAAAATTAAAACTAGTTTAGTTTTGATTGACAGTAATTGGAATGTTGACACGTACTTCCGGTTCGTATTATTAAAGGAAATGACATATTGAATACTCACTTCAGACTCTTATATATTTTGGTAATCAAACCCAATTCAATTTAGTTGAAAACGCGAATTAAAGGGATTGTAAAAAGGTTTTCTAAACTTTTTATTTGTATTCGAGACACTAAATTTTAAATGGCAGGACCAGCAGACGTCTGTCTGAAAATTAGAGTAAAAATCGATGCTATCAGTGTTCCCAAAAGTAATAAAAAGTTTGGAAAATCTGTTTACAATCCAATTATAAGGAAAACTAATATATCGGGGTATGTCAGTTTATTTGATAAACGAGTATATGTTCAGAAGCATATCGCATTATTACAACGAAAAGTACATGAATAAATTATACCCCATTAAATGAAAAAAAATATCAAAATAAACAATATTAGACGGCTTCTCTTATAGGATGTCGAATTGACAAACTCATTCACAGAGTGGCAGTAGGTGTTCTGAAAAGGTGAATATTTCTGCCTCAAAAGCTACATAGTGGAGCTCAAATTCAGATAGGTTTCTGGGAAAGGAAAACATGGAAAATAATCATCAACAATTTTTGCTTTATACAAGTAATATTGAAGCATGTAAATTTTAAATATTATTTAATTTGAAACGCAAGACTGTCAAGAATGCCAATAAATGCATAATTTTTTCCAAACACATGATGATTTTCTTTCCATTTCCTGTAGCGACTACCAGATCACGCACGGTATATAAATAATGCTGTATCTTGATAAAGATTGACTCGATGGCATCTGCATGTACATTTATATAAGTTCTATCATTATTTATAAATAATTGCAGCAAGTGTATCCTTGATTTAATCAAATTCTCATAAAGAAATGCCAGAACGACTAGACACTTTGCATGCCTATGGCATTTGATCGAAATTATTTTATATACTTTGTAAAAAATGAGATTTAAAATTAGAATCTCAAATTCTCAATCTATTTATCCTTTTTTTAAATTCTTATATTCATCCAAACCAATCCAAAGATGGGTGTCTGATGTTCACGAAGACTTCATGCCAGGAACCTCATCTCTGTAACTTGGAAGCAGAATTTCCCTTGAAACAAAAGATCTCGGAATAGCATACAACATAACCTCTGGTTCCATTTTGGTATAAAATGTCATTCATTTGAATATATTTTTTGATTTTTTTTCTTTGTGATTTTTTCCAAATAATTTGAGTGAATTTAAAAACCATGGTTGTATCCAAAATCATCCGGGCATCACAACCTTTCATTGTTCCTTTGGGATTTGAACTAAAATCCTCGATCAGGAAAGAATTGGTCTGAATCGTTAAAAAATATTTCTTTAGAATTTTGGAAATCCCGTGGGGGAGAAAAACATGTGAAAATTGTAAAATTCTACATACCATATTAACACGTGTTAGTTCTGCTAAATTTCCATCAGGGGCAATTCACTAAACACACATTAACACCGGAATGATAAACATAATTCGTTTATCAGAACACATCCTATTCAATTTCCTAATCTTTAATTTGATTGGTGTAATTTCTTACATTAGTAAGTAACAGTTGATTTAATTGGTTGCCGTCAGCTGTCAATCAATGTCTGGTTTAAGGAATGATAAATAGACTATTAGCACGTGAATAGCTACTACATAATCTACTGTATTAAATTACTATCAAATTTACCAAGGCGTAAAGAAATATTCCCCCTCACGAGAGTCGTTTCCGAGCAAAAGTTTGTTTCGACATACGTCATGAAACATTATAGTACTATAGTGCTGACAATTTTGCATTTGGCACCTCATTTTCCTTTGCCTACTTGGCATTTGGTCCGATATTTGGAACTGAAAATGTTCAATGAACCAAAAGACAGACCAAAACTGAATTGTTGGTTTTTAGACTAACGTATGAAATTATTGATCATTTTGCACCTCATTTTCCTTTCTCCCTGGCATTCGGTTTGTTATTTGTATCAAAAGTGTTCTAAGAAGTTGCAAAAATCTTGAAATAAGAAACAAAAAATGAAGTCCTATAAAGGCCATACACGTCTGCGTTTAGTTAGAAAACAATGGCGTCAACGTTGCTTGCTTGATATCAAAAATGTATTTATCTAACTCTAGTCAATATAAATATCTGTTGATGTACTGAATTCTACTACTCCACGAACAATGGCAACCCGACACCTGAAATGTTTGCTTACACAAAACCTTCATATCAACATGAACAATCGAAATCTTTTGTCGTTTTTATTTTCATAAAAAAGGTCTCCAATGTTACCAAATGTCTAGTGTTTGGTCTACTGTTGCCCCATTCTGTGAATCTACAAGGAATAAATTTTTAATAGCTTTAGATAGTAACTCAGAGCTGGCAGTTTTGAATAACATTTTGTAAAATGTACTAACAAGAGAAAAGAAAATAATTTGATGTCAGTTCGAAAAAGCCTTGACGCCAACGTTACCTTCATTAACACGTTTATTTTCTTTCTTGGGAGATGTTTTCGAGGTTTAGCTGTCTGATTAATAAAATTTGCTTTTTTAAATTAAATGCAACGGATCCTTCCAGATTATTATAAGCAGGTGCCAAATATTATACGATTATCTATCATTTCCCGAAACTCTCATGGACAAGGGACATGTCCGTAGCTAGCCCAGGGTCTCATGAGGGTGGGGGAGGTGTCATTTTTTAAGAGGGGCTCAACTACAGCGACTCAACAGGTCATTTAAGTTATTTACATTTTCAGAGGGGGGGGGGGGGGTGCAAAATTTTCTTAGTGGTGCATGGACCCCCTGGCCTTCCTCTAGCTACGAGCCTGACCAGGGAAGTACATTTTTAAGAGGGAATTTTGACCTAAAGCTCATCAAATGCTCATAATAGTTCATGTGAACTTGTAGAAAATCGTTATGTATTCAAATGATATTTAGTCTGGAAATATTTTTCTTTTCTGCCAGAACTTTTTTTTAGCCCAAAAATCTGTTAATAGAGCGGGAGTAAATTAAAACCAAATTGTGTGTATATTTGTATAGAATCTGACATGTATTGTTTTAGTTCTGTTGGTAGTTTTAAACATATGGTGAATATTGCATTGCCTTCTGTTTATATTCATGGAGATTACAGAAGTCTGTAGACACACGTCAATCAAATTATCTTGCAATTACTATACCATTTTTTAAAGCACAGTTTTGAATAAAGAACTTTTTTTGCAAGTTTGTTTTTTTGATTCCAGGGGTACCTTTCATAAATAAAATAATTCCATTATAATGATTTCAGCATATTTCTGGGCCTCATTGATCTAATATCAAAAATGACTTTAGATAAAGTTTTATAACAGATTACTTAAAAGTTGAATCATTGGGTAAGAGGGCTGAGTAGGTGCGAAGGAATTGCCAAGGGGGTTCAACAGACAATACCTTCACCATGTTAAACAATTAGAAAGAATCATAGAAGAATCAGGCTTGTCAAGAATGTGTTTCACCCCAATGATGTGGCAGTAGAAAATCTCAGTTGGTAGAGAGTTGGATTGTCATCTGCTAGGCGATTAGGTGCCGTGGGTTCCAATACTTCTCAAGGTAAAATTCTGATGCCTGTGCCAGTGCTTCCAATAGTCAGTCGGCTTTCACCCTTAATACCCAATGACTTGCTACACAGAATAATGGAAATAAGTTTTATTGGTAAAAGTTTAAAATTTGTCAACATTAAATATTAAAATATCACAAATTTTATTCACAACATAACAAATGCATAAAGGCACATTTCATCACAATAGATTTTAAAAATTAAAAAAATATCTGACAATATCATTTCTAATTAATTAAAAAAATATCTGACAATATCATTTCTAATTAATTAAAAAAATATCTGACAATATCATTTCTAATTAATGAACAAAAAATATCTGACAATATCATTTCTAATTAATGAAAAAATATCTGACAATATCATTTCCAATTAATAAAAAAATATCTGACAATATCATTTCTAATTAATGAAAAAATATCTGACAATATCATTTCTACTTAATTAAAAAAATATCTGACAATATCATTTCTAATTAATTAAATACCTATTTTAATTTTAATCAAAATAATTCAATAACAGCTTCAATATCATCAATACCAACAAATGGGTAACACTAAAGTATTTGGTAAGTTTTTTCCACTACAAACTATCAATAACTCTTTTCAAAATGAAAACCTGACAATCAGTTTGTCTACAATTAAAATTGATTCATGAGATTGATCTGCATCTGCTGATACAACAAACTTCATAAATCGTCATATAGTAATAGTGCCAGTTGTTTTCAAGTCTTAAATCACTAGCTTGAAATCACCAATAACTTAATATAGTAATAGTACCAGGTCGTTCTGGAGAAGCTGTTATAAGTTTCGTATCACTGACCCACATTAGATGTAATAATGTTGGATGTCTGTGGACTACATTTAATAATTCACCTTTCTGCAAAAAACAAAATATTATTATGGATTTTTAATGAACAACACTGCATAAAATTTATTTTGTCAAATCAAGCCTTAAATGAATGATGGTAATTTGGAAAGGACCAAAGGTCAGTTGGTATGAAGGATCCTTTTGCTATATCAATGGTTCTTTTGTATTCTGTATTGAGATTTGTCCTGGAAGCTCTTGGCCAGATCTTGAGATTGATCGTTCTAATTAAGGAACAATTGTAACTGATTCCTAATTAGTAATTAGCCGTTCTTATTCACTGATTACAATTGATTGTTTTCTGTCAAGACCATTGTATTCACTGAACATGTATTGAATTATTTGTAAGAAAATTGTGAACTTCTCAAATTTGATGGAGCTATACGGCTTTTTGATTTTCCAACACTTTGTTGGACCAGTGCTCTTGACTTGTTCAGAATTCAAAATGTTTAATGGGAGTAATTGTAGCATCTAGCTCGTATGTTGCTAATTTTACTTTTTTGGAAACTTGCTCTGTCCATGTCTGACAACTCAAATGCTTAATGGAAGAAATTGTTTTATTTTTTATTTTACAGATCTCCAGATCTTTAGAATATGGATTCTCAAACTGACCTTGTAATTCCAGACAACAATTTTTTTCTGATCACCACCACTAACTAATCTATCATTGTTAATATATAAACATCGAACTATTCCAATATGTTGATTTAATACATGTCTACATTCACCTACAAAAATATATTTTCAATCTATTGCAAATGTTCATATCTTTCAGGGCCATATATAGGGGCTTTTTTCAATGGAGCAAAAAAAACCAAACAAATTGGGGGATGGGGATTGAAGGGTTGGAATAGACTTCAAACGGTAACCATCTTTTTTGTAGACATCATATTCATATTTTAAATTTTACAGCAAAATCCCTTTTTTTAGAATTTTTTATTCCTCAAATTCCCTATTTGCATACTGGTCCTGTTTATAAAATTTAACAAGTTGGTGACAACTCTATAAAGATTTCATTTTGGGATTTTTCCAAGAATCCAAAGATAAATTATTTGCTTGCAAATGTTTTGTATATAACAATGCTTCAGGCCTAAAAATGCATGAATTTATATGAATATGTTTGGCAATGACTTTCAGAAGTATGTACAAGTTGTAATGTAGAAATACACATGGTAACATTTAAATATGACTGAAAAAAAAAAAAAAAAAAAAATTCCAACCCTCTTAGACATGCAATTATAAAGTCTATCTCGTTAACCTTCTCTAATTATTATCTTGAAAGAGGAAAATAATTCTTATATTATCTTTGACATAGACATATTTATTACCATTAACCAGCAGAATCTTATCTATAATTATAGTCTTAATTCAACATCTCTTGAAATAACTACCCTTAACTAGTTGATCTTCATAAATGAATGCCATTTGGAATTTTTTTTTTTTTTTTTTCGAAGGTTCCTGTTTAGATAGTTCTTTAAATTTGATCTGTAAAGAGGATATAGACATCTAAAAATTTGCTTCACCAGTTGATAAGAGTTTAATTTCAGCCATCCAGATCACTTTTCAGAATTGAATTTTGATGTCTGATTCGCTTATAATTTAACAAGAGAGTACTGTGCTAGTTTAAACTGGTTACTGTCTGGGCATCTTCACATTACTGAACTTCATACCTTGATTGCAATAGCTACCTTTCTTGTAATCCGAAATGCAGCACTTTGATTGGAAAGTAGGCCGATGAATACAGCCAATCAGAGTCCTCAAAAGAAAAGCTGTAAACAGTCAAGGTATAAGTATGAAGTCATCTACCAACCAACCTATCTTGACATTGTGAAGATGCTGTCTGGGAGGCAATAACTTTCTAGCTTACTATTCTCATTCTCATTCTCATTCTTATATTATACATCATAATATAAAATGTGAAATAGATAGCCGGCATTGAGCTCTACCAGAACGGAAGACGCACACATAAAGAACTAGACAGAATTGTCAGATCAGTCTGCTAAATGAAAGGATAGATTCATCTGACTGACTCAAAGCCACTTGAGAAATCTTCATGAAAGCAATTGTCAGCATTATTGATGAAATACATTTTTTGAGGAACAACTGTCAAAATCAACATCCAATTTTAGTATGAAAACATAATGAAAATCAATAACAATCAAATAATTGATAAAAAAAAAAATTACTTAAGAAATTGGCCATTGATTGGATAGTAATCAACAAATTGTTTATTTATGGTAATGACAATAAAAAGTAATTAATTTTATTGTGTTAAAGACTCACAAGCAGCATTAAAGGGACATTCTGCTTTTTTTCTATGTCAATTTTTTTTTTTGCATAAATTTGTGTAAACTATACACCAAAATCTAGAGAAATGTGCCCTTTAATATAACTTTTAAAAATGCAGCCGTTAATCTTTAAAGGCCAAAATCATTAAAAAACATTACTTAAAGATATTAAGTTCGTTATTCTTTTTAGAAGCTGTTAGAAAACTACTGTGCGGATTTGAGTAAAATAAACGCCTAATTCTAGAGAAATATGTCTCCTACGTTTTCTAAAGGTTTCAACTAATAACATCGAGCCATTATAAAGTACTCTTTGTTTTTAATCAACCCTTTTAAAACAAATTCAGTTTGACAGAAGATACATAGATATAAATAGCAGACTTTAGAAATATTTTCAGGTATAATTTACGATGTTTTTGATACTGAAAATGTTTTACAAATAGCAGAATATTCCTTCAAAGTCCCCAGTTGTACTAGTTGAACATTGACCTCTAGGTAAGCAAGCAAGCATCTTTCTGAGTCACTGGTTACCCTAAACCTTTTAAAACCTTAACCATTCAAAAGCTAATTTTTTCAAAAATTTTATCCTTAAAAAACTTATTTTTTAAATATAATCCTTTAATAACTTAAACCGTAAAAACCTTGTAATCACACTTTAAACCATATCCTTTCAAAATCGTATCCTTTGAAAATACTAACATTTAAAAACCATATCCTTTAAAAATCCTTGAAAGTGATAACTTTCAAAATCTTTTACAAATCTTACCCTTTGAAAATATTAACCCTTTAAAACTTTTTACAATTTAAAAACCTTATCTTTTACAAATTATATCCTTTAAAATTATCCTTTTAAAATCTTGTTCTTCAAAAACCTTTCAAAAATCATATCAAAAGGACTAAATTTTCACAAATATATTTTACAAATGTTTCTATTCAAAGAAATATGTAACATCTCAAGTAGTTATACTGAGCTAAGACAATTAGAAAAAACATTACAAATTCCAAAAAAAAGAGATCTTATTCAAATTTCTCAACATTTATGCAACCAAAGTATCAAGACACAAAAAAACTGCCAAATATGAGAACAAACTGCAATTTAAAATATAGCAACGTAATTCACAGACGGCAAATCCTTAATTATATGGAGTAATTATTTCGGCCTTAAAACAAGTATTAAAAGATTAACATCAAATCAAAATTGACGTAATATCTGTATCGCATGAATAATTTTCCCAGAAGCCTAAAACTTCAGAATAATAAATTGATGAAAGACGGACCAAATAAAACCATCAAAACATCGTATCAGAAAATTACAATTTCATAAAAAGCAATGAAGTGAGATTGAAAATAGACAACTTTGACCTTTTTTCCAATGATTGCACATCAGAATGCTACTAATAATGAAAAGTTTGATGACCCACAAATTTTGCTGATAACCAGACGGGCAAGTTCGACAATGAAACAGCACTCGAGAAAATTAAATGTTGGCGAACGGAGAAAAAGCACGATATGGTCCAGTGCTTAGACAAGTAGCCTTTTAGACAGACAATGTCAAAATATGTGTGACATCATTAATTAGGGGAACTTGAAGAGTAGAAAGTTAAATTTACATCTGATTATAGTGACACTTTACCACAGGGACATTTCTAATACACTCTTACTGAGATGATAGTTTCCTTGATTCAACTACTTTGCCTTGATCTCTATTCCATGTCCATGATTAGAAAATAATGATTCCAAAAAACCTGATTTTAATTGCATCCTCCAAGGTTATTAGATAGCTAAAATATGAAAATAATTTTTGTAACGGAAAATTTCACACCTTTTTCATTTTATTGCAAACTTGATTTTGTCTTTCTATTCAAGCTATTCTTTGATATCTCATAATTTATTTCCAATTTCATTTCATTAACTTTCAAATTTAATTTCATTAAGTTTCAAATTTCATTTCATTAAGTTTCCAATTTCATTTCATTAAGTGTCAAATTTCATTTCGTTAAGTTTCAAATTTCATTTCATTAAGCTTCAAATTTAATTTCATTAAGTTTCCAATTTCATTTCATTAAGTTTCAAATTTCATTTCATTAAGTTTCAAATTTCATTTCTTTAAGCGTCAAATTTCATTTCGTTAAGTTTCAAATTTCATTTCGTTAAGTTTCAAATTTCATTTCTTTAAGTTTCAAATTTCATTTCATTAAGTGTCAAATTTCATTTCGTTAAGTGTCAAATTTCATTTCGTTAAGTTTCAAATTTCATTTCATTAAGTTTCCAATTTCATTTCATTAAGTTTCAAATTTCATTTCATTAAGTTTCAAATTTCATTTCTTTAAGTTTCAAATTTCATTTCATTAAGTTTCAAATTTCATTTCTTTAAGTGTCAAATTTCATTTCATTAAAAGTATCAAATTTCATTTCATTAAGTTTCCAATTTCATTTCATTAAGTTTCATATTTCATTTCATTAAGTTTCAAATTCCATTTCATTAAGTTTCAAATTTCATTTCATTAAGTTTCAAATTTCATTTCATTAAGTTTCAAATTTCATTTCATTAAGTGTTAAATTTCATTTTTATTCTTACTCAAGTTTTATTCTTCAGTAAAATTCATTCATGTTGGGTCTCAGATTCTGGCAGTATTTCTATCTTACAGACAGAAGATTTCCAAACTCCCAATTGACATGTATTACAAATGCTACCAGGAATAGAGTTTGACGATAATAAGAGGAAATATCTTTCGTCCTTCTTCTCCACCGATCTGTTATTAACTCAAGTGGGCAATTTTCATTAACACACCAACTGTCTGACTTTCTACAGTCTTAATGCATTTTAAGATGTAATCAGGAATATTTTAGTTCCACTGTCTCGCAGGATTTCAATCTAATGTACAACATGCAATGCTTTCAGACTTTAAAAGTTCTGCCTGCCAATTATATGATTTCATAGTGCAGGAGGCCAAGTAGTTCACTTGAATTCATTCATTACAACGAATTAGATTTGTTTTTTAAAACACTGCATTAAAAGAAGATATTTTGCTAAAAATCATTTAACATGGGGACAGTTTTTGTTTAAAGTTGCTTTACTTTTGAGAAGCTTATATATGAAATTTCATGAAATGGAGTTTTACGTCCAACTTTTCCTGTTTGGAATAATGAGGACAGACAATGCCATGCAGTGTGCAATGAGGGAAATTTTGCCAGGACAGCAGCATTAACGTATTATTTCTTTATTGTTTTAGAGTTTTTTTTGTGTGGTTTAATGCCCTATGTGGTTTAGTATTGTGATATTGTTCTTATCTTTGTTTGTTGTCACCAAATTTTTAAATTTTCATCTGTCTATGGATCATTAGTGTGGATCATCATTTCACTGTAACCTATTTATAAGACAGTGGATGCTAACCACTTCTATCAACTATATTACCAAACATCAGTTATAAAGTTATAAATCAATAAATATAGAAACTTTGAAGATAAAATGTAAAAATATTTTCCATTACACCATATCATGATAATGTATCGTATCCTTAACCTTGTATCGCAATACAATCATATCGTGGCATGATTGACGATACCCAGCACTATCCTGTTGCATACAGGACCTCAGTTTATTGTCCTATTTGAACGACTAGATGCATATTACAAGTAAATCTGCTCCAGGGAGAAAATAGGTTAAAAAGAATCCAAACTGCCAACTACTCAATCAGATTTCCATTCTGAAATCCATTTTTAAAATGATGGCTTTTCTGTCAAATTGAAGACTCAAATCAACTCTAAGATATAATTTTACTGGACAAAACACAAAATCAATATCAGTAACATCTAAAGATATCATTTTCATTCCTGCCAATCTGCCATCTACAGACAAACTCTCTCAGTTGTTGTCAAAATCATGTCAATTCCATTAACACTAACATGCTGTTATTTGATTGAATTAGAAACTTAAAATAGGGGATAAAAGTTAGATGGAAATTTCAACTGTCAAAATCTCTTGTCATTTCAATTTAACTTAGTTACTTTGGTTAAAGGGATACTGTGCTCTAGTTATTAAAGTGATACTACGTCTTAGAATGAACATAAAATTTAAGTTCTTGAAATGGTCAATATGAGCCTCTTTCATAAAGGCCTTAAAGTAACAACGGTTTTACCTTTTGTTTTTTGATAAAATGTTGAGCTTTAAACCACTAAGATTATAGTACTGCATAGCTTTAATAATATAATCTAATATACTTGATCTAACTTGACATCTGTCTTATATTTAATTAAAGATTTGAATCTTGAAATATTTTTTGGTCTTTGTTTACAATAATTGATTTAATCTACCGCAAGAACCATTATAATCAAATCATCTTCAGTAAAAGTACAATCGTTTTATGAACTATCTAAACCCTAAATCAAAACATCTTTTCAGTGGGGATTTGCCCCTCCCAGCTTCACAGTAAAATAAGTTGTACTCAGAATTCTACCCCTCTTCATTCTTAAGTAAGTTCAATGTATGATTTATGTAGGTTTTTTGCTTCTAAAGAACACTCTAATGGCCTATAGTAGAGTACCGCCTATGGATTTGGAATCTTAGCTCAGACAGTTGTACGACCATTAAATCAGTTTGGTGACAATCCTGATATTTTGACTAATGCATGTACTTAAAATGGATTGTAAAGAGGTTTTCTAAATTTATTATGTGGAATTGCAGGAACCACAGACATTTGATAAGAAATTGGAATGGTACAAATTAATGCTATCAGTGTACCCGATACACATAAAAAATTTAGAAAACCTTTTTACAATCCCTTTAATGGCTACTGAAGAGGCAGATCGTGCATTGTTCAATGAGGGAAATTCTACCATGACTGTGGTATAACCACATTCTTCAACTCCAAACATCCAAACAGATCGTTAATGTGCAAAGCTAGTAGCACGTTTATTTACAATAATCTAGCACTGGATATTCCAGCTAGACAGCATGTGTCTTACTCTCTGATTGAGAAAATAGAAGTTACTAACTTACCAGTATGGTACCAGACTCTGACGGTACTATCAGATGATCCTGATGCTATTACAGACTGATTATATACTACACAATACTGAAAAAATGCAATTTATCCAGAATCATGAAGAATATTTGAAATGAAAGTATTTTGAATGGAAACCATCATATAGCTGTATATTCTAAGCTGTCTTAAAGGGACAGATGCACCATTCTTTTTGACCAATCATACTTTAGTATCAGAAATGGGAATATTTTATCTAAGCCAGCGAATCAGTAATACGGTTCACAGGTCACAGTCGAAATTTGAGCCTTTAAATCCATGTTTGTCCAGAATAATCCGCAATTGAATGTAAAAATGACGACTCATCAATTTAAAATACTCTGCGATATATAGAAATAAAATATATAGAAATAGCGAGTAAATTTCTTAGTTTGAGATATTTTTGAAGGAATTATGAGATTTTCGTACATTTGTAGTACTATTTACATATTTTCAAGATTCAAATCACCCCCCCAAAAATGGCGCTGGAACTATCCATTTAAAATTATTTTCATTTTCCTAAAACATAACTCTAAATATTTTTCTTCGTTATTTTTTGTGCTTTACTTCAATCATACTTTGATCTAAAATTTTTACATGAAAGGTTCAAATCCTAAACCAATGAAATGCTCTGTTCAGTAACAGTGTTACTTGGGAATTTTGAGGCCAAATTTAAAAATAGATAATTTTCAATGAATATTGATGAGAACTGATGTAGGATGTTGTCAGATCTAGAATAAGTGAAAAAGGCAAAAGAATAAGCAAATAAACAAACATTAATTTCATATTCCACTCAAAATATTATGTGAATTCTATGTCAGATTGCCAGTAGCATAAAAACACTTACAATTTCTCCAGTGTGTCCAGATAATATATGTTGACACTTGCCAGAGTTAGTGTTCCAGATTCTTATTTCACTATCAGCACTACCACTAATTATCTTCTTTCTATCGAACTGACAACATGTTACAACTGAAACCATTTATTATTTATGTACATGTAATAATTTTGCTTTAGCCCAGTTTACACCAAGCTGCTATAAAGCGTTGCGTTCCATTCTCCGTCCGGACCAGGCCCCGATAAAATGTGCCCAATTACATTACAGTAAACTCAAGTGGTCTGAGAATGGTTCTACAGTTGTAGAGTAAATGATAAGCGTTCTCGACACGGTTATCTGTGGAACTCTTCTTGAAGAAGTTAAAATTCACTTGGATGTAATTAACAATTTCACTAAATAATGACAATATTCCGCGGGAAAAGGTGAAGGTCGCTTCTGAGGAATGCACAGAAAAGTGTTCTAAGAATGGTTACGGTTAAAATTACACTAATTTATCGAGTCCCTTCTGAGAACAATTCTGAGAGTACCTCACCTTGGTGCACCAGAACGCTCCACCATTTACATTACAAAAAAATTCATCCGTTCCATTCTGAGAACCGTTCTGAGAACAGATAAATTTTGAAATGTTGAAGGGGTTATAGCTGAAAAGAACTCATCCTATTCACTGTATTGCATCTTACAATAGTAAAAGCAGTTGGTTTCTTAATATGGTGGAACAAAATGCTTATTCCGAAACATCTGCTTCTATTCCAGACTCTGGTAAGTCCAGAAAATCCCTGTAAAACAAGGCCTAGTTTTTCTGTCTCTACACCAGCGACAACTTTCAAAATAGCTATCAGAGGCTGGAATAAAGGCAGATGTTTCAGTCTACATAGTTCTATGGTGGCATTAAGACCATATATAATATCATTCAATAAGCACTATTACTACTTCAAAAAATTTCACGACTCACAGTTAACCATTAATTGTAAATAAGTTTTGTGCTTTTAGACAACTGAACTGTTAATAATGGCTTACCTTCAGTATGTCCCTCATAACGTAATTTCATCACACCATTATATATATCCCATAATATTAAAGTGTTATCCCAGGATCCTGAGATTACCATATTATCATTGCTATACAGGCACTGGAAAAATTAAAATGACAGTAAATTGCTGATTATGGTTTCAAATTTTCAAAGTTGGTGCCCACAAAAATAAATTATTGCACAGTATTATAAGGGTCAAATTCAATTTCATTTGATCGGGCCTTATTTATATTAAAAAATCTACTAAAAATCTGAAAAAAATAGATTACATAAACTGCATATTATTTTGAAATCTTTGTGAGGTCTATAGCACAGTCGGTTAGAGCATTGGTTCTTTACATGTGGGTGTGGGTTCCGATCTTGATCAGCGTGTGAAAGTCCAATGACCTTGAATAAGTCATCTTCACTCATAATTCCAGTGGATCCAGATGTAAATGGGTACGGAAAATCCCGGAAAGAGTAAATGCCAAGAGGTTTGGCCACGGACCAGCTGGTAGAAAGGATCCTTAACTGTGAACCTAAGTTGTTATCCAAATAAAGTTGTTTCTTTCTGTCTTCAGAAAGAGATTAATAAATCAGTTCTTACTTCAATATCATCAGAGTGACCATAAATTGTACATTTCAATTTTCTATCCAGCACAGACCATACACGAAGGGATCTACAACAAAAAAATACATAATAACAACTTCAAATGGTAATGAACACAACTATTGAATATTGTCCTACTTTACGAGTATAAAAGGAGAAATAGCTGTTATTTCATTTGCTAGAACAACCACAATAATTAATAGAAGCAATTTTAATTAAGGGGAGACAACCAACTATTAATAAAATCGCAGTCTTTAAACATTTCTTGGTCAATCATTTAAATGGGTTTTTTTTTTGTTAACATGAATATCAGCATCCAAATAGTGATAATAGTCACTAATCTTCATAAGGAAAGATAATACTTTAGGACTTTTCAACTCGATTTCCTCCTGTCAGTCATGCAGATTAGAGGGGGTGGCACATCCAGTCGTTTGGATGAGACAAAAACCAGTGGCCCGTTGTACTACAGGCAGTGCATATCAAAGATCCTTCAACAATTGATAAATAAGTAGGCTTATACAGCTGCACTGAAAAATTTACCTCATAGCACACATACCTGTCTTATTTAGCCTGATAAGTAGAGTGTAAATCTCTGTTCATATAATTTTTTTACAGGTTAATCAGTATAGTATATCATTTTAATTTTTAACCCAAGTATTCAAGAGCATATTGATTAAAGGGAGAGAATTTACTATTAACTAACCTATCAGAACCAGCACTGATAATAAACTCATTTAACAGAGTGATGTGATCCACACTACCAGCATGACCTCGGAAACTTAAACATTCTTTACCAGTTAGACTATCAAATATATGTATACTTCCATCAGCACATGATGTCACTACCAGACGATCCTAAATTAAAATCAAATATGTGTTTAAAATATCACATTATTTTTGTATTTTATTGTGACATATTTTAATATTTTTCTCCATTGAACAAATGTCTTGATAACTATTATTTTTAAAATTGGAAAAAAAACCAAAGAGCTATGACATTATCGATTATCAAAATCAAACAGGTTAATATCTCAGAGTTAAAAATGATAGATTTGCCATTTTCAAGGGTTGATTTGGGTATATACGTTAATATGCATCAGAAGTACTTGAAATGTATGAAAATAACATAGGAATTTCACTTCCTATTTCTATGTCTTTTCTACTTTCTCAAGAAAAGACGAGACATCATTTTAAAATACAAACACAGATAAATCTGGACAGACGACTTGCATTTTAGCTGTATGTCTACCAATTTCAAATTTAATCCAAATAGGTTAAAACTTTTTAGGTTCTAGAACGTTTATGAAGAAATGTAGGCTGATATGGGTGCCAACAATGAACGTCCACATAGAGATGAGCTTACCTTTAATTTAACACAAGTTATTGTATCAGAATGTACATCTATAGTATGTAAACATCTGCATGATTTCATATCCCATATCTTTAATATCTTATCATCACTACCACTAGCTATTATTTTACCTACAAAATATACAACAACATGATTTCATATCTGATATCTTTAATATCTTATCATCACTACCACTAGCTATTATTTCACCTACAATATATACAACATGATTTTATATCTCATATCTTTAATATCTTATCATCTCTACCACAAGCTATTATTTTACCTACAAAATACACAACATGATTTTATATCTCATATCTTTAATATCTTATCATCACTACCACAAGCTATTATTTTACCTACAAAATATACAACAACATGATTTTATATCCCATATCTTTAATATCTTATCATCACTACCACTAGCTATCATTTTACCTACAAAATAAACAACATGATTTTATATCTCATATCTTTAATATCTTATCATCACTACCACAAGCTATTATTTTACCTACAAAATACACAACAACATGATTTTATATCCCATATCTTTAATATCTTATCATCACTACCACTAGCTATTATTTTACCTACAAAATAAACAACATGATTTTATATCTCATATCTTTAATATCTTATCATCACTACCACAAGCTATTATTTTAACTACAAAATACACAACATGATTTTATATCCCATATCTTTAATATCTTATCATCACTACCACTAGCTATTATTTCACCTACAATATATACAACATGATTTTATATCTCATATCTTTAATATCTTATCATCACTACCACTAGCTATTATTTCACCTACAATATATACAACAACATGATTTTATATCCCATATCTTTAATATCTTATCATCTCTACCACTAGCTATTATTTTACCTACAAAATACACAACATGATTTTATATCCCATATCTTTAATATCTTATCATTACTACCACTAGCTATTATTTCACCTACAATATATACAACAACATGATTTTATATCTCATATCTTTAATATTTTATCATCACTACCACTAGCTATTATTTTACCTACAAAATACACAACAACATGATTTTATATCCCATATCTTTAATATTTTATCATCACTACCACTAGCTATTATTTTACCTACAAAATACACAACAACATGATTTTATATCTGATATCTTTAATATCTTATCATCACTACCACTAGCTATTATTTCACCTACAATATATATACAACAACATGATTTTATATCCCATATCTTTAATATCTTATCATCACTACCACTAGCTATTATTTTACCTACAATATATACAACAACATGATTTTATATCTCATATCTTTAAAATCTTATCATTACTACTACTAGCTATTATTTTACCTACAAAATACACAACATGATTTTATATCCCATATCTTTAAAATCTTATCATTACTACTACTAGCTATTATTTTACCTACAAAATACACAACATGATTTTATATCCCATATCTTTAATATCTTATCATTACTACCACTAGCTATTATTTCACCTACAATATATACAACAACATGATTTTATATCTCATATCTTTAATATTTTATCATCACTACCACTAGCTATTATTTTACCTACAATATATACAACAACATGATTTTATATCCCATATCTTTAATATCTTATCATCACTACCACTAGCTATTATTTTACCTACAAAATACACAACATGATTTTATATCCCATATCTTTAATATCTTATCATTACTACCACTAGCTATTATTTCACCTACAAAATATACAACAACATGATTTTATATCCCATATCTTTAATATCTTATCATCACTACTACTAGCTATTATTTCACCTACAATATATACAACAACATGATTTTATATCCCATATCTTTAATATCTTATCATCACTACCACTAGCTATTATTTTACCTACAAAAAACACAACAACATGATTTTATATCTGATATCTTTAATATCTTATCATCACTACCACTAGCTATTATTTCACCTACAATATATACAACAACATGATTTTATATCTCATATCTTTAATATATTATCATCACTACCACTAGCTATTATTTCACCTACAATATATACAACAACATGATTTCCATATCTTGTATCTTTAATATCTTATCATCATCACTACTACTAGCTATTATTTTACCTACAAAATATACAACATGATTTTATATCTCATATCTTTTATATCTTATCATCACTACCACAAGCTATTATTTTACCTACAAAATACACAACATGATTTTATATCCCATATCTTTAATATCTTATCATTACTACCACTAGCTATTATTTTACCTACAAAATACACAACATGATTTTATATCCCATATCTTTAATATCTTATCATTACTACTACTAGCTATTATTTTACCTACAAAATATACAACATGATTTTATATCCCATATCTTTAATATCTTATCATTACTACTACTAGCTATTATTTTACCTACAAAATATACAACAACATGATTTTATATCCCATATCTTTAATATCTTATCATTACTACTACTAGCTATTATTTTACCTACAAAATATACAACAACATGATTTTATATCCCATATCTTTAATATCTTATCATTACTACTACTAGCTATTATTTTACCTACAAAATATACAAAAACATGATTTTATATCTCATATCTTTAATATTTTATCATCTTATACTTACCATTGCTGTCTAAAGCCGTAACTTTTTCTCTATGCCCTCGTAATATAGGAGCAACTGTATATCTTCCTTTAGCCCAATTATTATTCAAATGTTTCACTCTAATAAAAGTATTCTTCCATTTACATATTGGCGTCAGTCTGGTATTCTTTTGTACTGAAAAGAGTATTCGGAGATCTAAATTAGAGAAGACCGAGATTTTTAATTGACCAGTCATTTACATGTACCTGGATATGATCGTCGAAAGTCTTGCATTACCAGTAAAGATCACTTTCAGAATTTATGTTTGTCTAAACTTATTAATCATGGCAATAGAATTTGTGATTTATGATTGGTTAAAACTCTTAATTATATGCAACAAGAACAAAATTAAGAATACATGATAATTCATAAGAAACACCAATTAATCAAATGGTTTGCTTAATTTGACACTAAAAAATAAGGAAACCCATCTTTAAATATTTTTTCATTGATTTTGACATATTACATCTATTAGTGTTAAATGCTGCAATTTTGCAGAATGCATTGTGCACATTGAAATTTATTACAATTTTTACCTTCCAATATAAACACTGGAGAGTTTCCAGAGATATTAGTTGAGTTAGGGTATAATGGTTCTTCTCTGACTATATCAAAATCTACACCATATTTCAACCATCCACGACACATACAATGATGTATCCTTAAAGTAGATACATGATACACTTTAAGATACACAATTCCAAGTATGAATTCTAAAATAGCTCAGGTAAATTAACATAATTTGTCAGTAGGTCAATAGTTTTAAAGGCTAAGGCCTAATGTTGGTAAATGAGAAATTTCACAAAGATGCAGCTCTAAATCTTATGTTAACAGAAAAACCATGCCAACTCTTTACATTTTTAGATTTTAGAATGTCTTAAAACCTTTAAAGGGACATTCTGCTTTTTTTGTAGGTCGAAAAAATTTTTGCTCAAATTTGTGAAAACTATACACTGATCTAGATAAATGTGCCCTTTAACATAATCTGAAAGTTTATCCAATCAAAATCCAGCCATTAACTTTTAACGCCAAAAATATTTAAAGACATTACGTAAGGTTCTTAAGTTTGTTATGCTTTTTGGAAGCTGTTAGAAAACTAATTTGAGTAAAATAAAAAATTAGTACACTCCGTTTTTAATCAACCCTTTTAAAATGAATTAAGTTTGATCAAGAAGATACATAAATATTAATAGTTTTTGATAATGAAAAAAAGGAGAATTCCCCTTTAACATAATGCAAAAACCTGCTTGTTTCTTGTTTGAACGATATTACCATTACCATGAAAATCAAAAGAAGCCTTCTCAACCAATGGTTAAGACAAACTCTTCAATGGAGATTAGACCACAATGGTGGAAAAATTTAGTGATCTTACCATAAGACATTAACATTAGATATTTCTCTCCAGTTGAGACAAGTTTCACTGAAAGATGCCAAGTCAACTGGACTTAAATAACTTAAAATCTTCTCAGTTGTTTCATTTGGTAGTATGCTAGTAAAATCCATTGTGAACTATAACATCACCATCATCACTGTGGCTCTAGATCAATAGACATTTTGGAATGGACCTAAAAGAAAAATAAAACAAAAAACTCATAAATTTCTCATCAGAATCTGCAGAACCAAAGGCTCTATATTTCTTAGACTTTTAGACAAATTACAATTAAGCCCAGATTTGCTTTGAAATTACTTAATTGAATCAAAAAAGTCGAAGTTTCAATACCATAAACTAAGTACCCAAAATTATATAGCCTGGTTGACATTAATATCTCATATCTTTATCATTGTTCAAAAACTTGCTCTTATTAATAGGATAGTTTCAACATGATAGAATTTCTGTAGTAGTAAATAACACCTTACATAACAGAGTACAAACTTCATGCTATAAACTGATTGATTGGAAATTTTAGCTCATATACTTAAAGGGATAGATGTGCCTTTCATTATTACCAATCATACTTTAGTCTCAAAAACTGGAATTTTTTAGCTAAGCCAATCAGTAATAGTGTATACTGCTCAATGTCGAATTTTGAGCCAACGAATCCATGTGTGACCAGAATAATTCGCGACTCGTCATTTTAATAAACTCTGGGATTTATAGAAAAGACGAAGATAGAAATTGTGGGTAAAAATTCTTAGTTTGAGATTAGTTTTTGATGGAATTATGCCATTTTTCGTACATTTCTAGTACTTCTGAAGACTATTTACATTTTTTCAAGACTCAAATCAAACCCCCAAAATGACATAAATATCATTAATATGGCATTGCTTTATGTAATATAAGATAGTACTACATGCATGCCAGAATGTCACTAGCCACTAATTTCACTAGTTTTGAAATAAAACTTGTCATATACCTCCACTAGTAGGCTACTACTAGAATAGTGGTTATGCAATGATAAATTAAGGATAACTGTAATTGCCTAATCTAATGAGGGTAGTGATAATAATGCATATTGCTGTATTGTTAGAACAATGCACTGAGGTATTTGGAATATTTTTAAAAGCAAGAATGATATCAATTATATTGAAGAAAGCAGATACCTCTGCGAAAAAACGAAAGTTGCTAACGACGCCATGGAGCACATAATACCCCTTTTCGTTGAAGAGCTTGAAGGGGAGTAACTCTTGATAAAGTTTTCAATAAAGAAAACCAAAAAAGGTATAAATTTAGCCATCATGGCCGACGTTGGAAATTTAGGAAATGAAGCATTGAAAAGAAAGGAAAGATTGAAGGCTTTAAGGGCTAAAAAACAAAAAAGAAGTGCACACAACGATGATGGTGAACATGAAGATTCATCAGAGAAAGAACAATTACCAAAGTAATTATCCAGTTTGATCTTTTCTTATAAAATGACATTGTCACCATTGATTGTCATTTTCCATAAAAATAAAACAAAACAAACAACCCGAAAGCACAAAAGAACCAATTTTTCTTTCATCTCTTATTCGAATTAAATACATAAGTTATATTTTGATTTAGTTTGATCTCCAGATCATAATAGGTAGGGCTATTTATGAATCACAGGCATAGTGTGAAAATGCTTTGTTATTCATCCTAAAACTATATGAATTTCATATATTCTAGACCTATATTCAGAAGTTACAAACCTAAAAGTGAAGTGTTAAAAGAAGGATCATTACCTAGAATCAAACCTGAAGATGGTTAGTAGACATTTTACATACAGTACTAAAGTCCATTCATAATTTCAGTCGACCAAGCTGTAAATGGGTACGGTTAATCCAGGAAAGATCAATGCCAAGGTTTGGCCAAGGACCAGCTGGTAGAAAGGTTCCTTAACTGTAAACCTATTTGTTATCCTTGTACAATGTAGTTGTTTGTTTCTTTTCTTTCTTTCTATGTATAGCAGTATAACATGACATGTGTATGAAGTAGGAAAATATACCAAAAGTATATAATATAAACTTATATACATAGAAAATAATGATTTAATTTAATTATGTTTTTTGTTTCAGTGTCGGAGAAAGTTAAAGATCAGTTAGAATCAGCTAAAACAGACCATTCCATTGATGAAGTGGTAAGTGTTTCTTTAAAGTGTCTTTTATTTTTCTTTTCTTTTTCCAAATTTAGGTGATGTGCGTTGTCGTGTACTTGTGACTTTTTGTCCTAAAATTTTTAAATGCTGCAGTTGTCATTTTTTCTGAAAGGGTAGAGAGAATTAATTTGTCAAAATCTTTAAGAGAAAAGATTGGACTTTGGACTAGCCACAAGTACCTAACCTTAGTTATTGTAACCAGTAGCATTCTGTTTCAATCATAAAGTATGATGTTGTTTCGATAATGATTTAAATTTTATTTATTTCAGGATTTAACTAATTTGGCACCAAGAAAACCAGACTGGGATTTAAAGAGAGATGTAGCTAAAAAATTAGAAAAACTGGAACGAAGGACACAACGGGCAATTGCAGAATTAATAAGTAAGTACACCATTTAGATAATATGATTTTAGTTACATTAGTTATTTTCATCTGAAAAGAATGTTGGTGTTTGACTTATTCAGAGATTAAGGTGTTTTTGGATTACAGGCATATTAATACTAAACCGTCATACATAAATGACTACATAACTATCAAATGGAATAGGCAATGAATCAGAAAATTAGTTTAGATTTAGAAATTTGATAAGTAATTAAAATATGAGATTATGAGATTTTATAATACTGTTTGATTTGTTGATAAGATACAATGGATTCAGCTATTACTGGACTCTAAGGTCCGTAGAGAGTCTTCTAATACTACTAGCTTTGGAAGAAAATTTTATGCTTATTATAGGAAAATTAGAAAATTTTTTTTATACTTTTGACTTGCAAAATTCGATGAGATTTAATTGAACATTCATGATTTCAGTCCTAATACCTTTTATTCAATATTTCAGGAGAAAGATTAAAAGCTAGTAAAGAAGATTTTGCTAATGTTATAAATGCTGCCAGTGTTACGGAAAATCAGGTGGATGAAGATGACTGACGTTACAATGATAAGGAAGGATTTGGATGGTTTCTATTTGGACTATATATTTTAGTGGCACCTTTGTCAAGGCAATATACTTTGATGAACTTTCAAATGCCTTGATACAAAAATAATGTTTAAGCTTTCTCATGAAAAGTAAAGTATGAACTGTCCATTTCAACACATTCAAGATGAATAGGTTCTTTTAGGTCTTTTTTGTGACACATTTATGGATATATTATTTTTATTGAGTGACTTTACTGAATGTATGTAGAACTTATTTCAAGGATGCAGTCCTACAGTTGTTATTTTGGAGCTTCAGTCAGACATGACTGTTCAATTCAACCAAATTAAGTAGTCATAATTGATAGTATCTGTAAGAAGAAGATACCTTTGTGAACCTAAAACAATGCCAGTGAAATTAATACATATTAGTTCATCCATAGTCAACCTGTATAAAATTGTAAGCAACAAGATTTTCATTCTTCATGTTCTGTATATGTATCATATTCACACACATCAATAAAACTATTTTCGTATAAAGTTTTTTGTATTACCAGTTTTACCAGTTTGAACAATCGTACTTTAGTCAGACACAGGAGTTTTTTTAACCTAAACTAATCAGTAATAGTGTTCACAGCTCATTGTTGAATTTTGAGCCTTCAAAACCATATGTGTCCAGAATTATTATAGTTGTAATATCGAACCTTTGGACAAATATTACAAATCTTGGCTGATTTGTTTACTCGTGCATAAATTGATCTGATTGTATCGTAGCATGTTGACCCATCCTATTTAGTAGTGGCTGGTGTTGCGTGTAAAAAGAAGGAGGATTCTGTCGAGGTTTAAATTCAAAATGCTTAGCTCAGTAGAAGAGCTATAGGTGTAATCCTCCCACGCAGCGTCTGAGAGAGTACTTCCACAAGAAAATATTGAAATTTATGGTGCATTCTGGCACATATATTTGGGCAAAAGCTTTAAAGAAATGATCTTTTAAAATTTGTTATAAATGAAGTGGGATACAATTGGGGGAAGGGGGGCAAATCCACTCGCGACGCCACTGATAACAACAGCGGTCAACTTTATGATCGCATTAGTTTGCAGTCGGGTTTCTATAGATTCTATCGCATAATGATACTGTGCTCTATCTTAGAATTTGACCTTTAGAAATTTTAATTCTTAATTTTAATCACAACTAATATGGTGTCTGTAGATTTTAATATGCATTACGGAGTGCGGTTTCGATTATGACGTTACAATACCGTACCGTAGCGTCATTTCTAAGTAATAGAAATATTTAGACGTGTAGCGTTAGTTGTCTACAACATTTACAAGTTATTCATCGTAATCGAAAGTGTTACCTGGTAAGTAAACTGGATTCTTGAACGAGTGCTTTTGTTGTATTGTTACAGCAATCATTCACATCAACGTTCAGTACATACTTTTACACATACCTGTACTTTATCAAATATTAATAGATATTTGTTTTGAGATGGAAAGGTTTTTATTTTGATTGTTTTCACAAAAGATGGCATTTTCTGACTCATGCAACTCTAAAAGCAACCATGTTTCCTGTGATATCCATTTATCAATTCTCCGATGACTGTTTAACAGGAGCCGCTGTAAATCATTTGGTGCCAATCTGATATGACGCTCTATTTCATGATATACATGTATGTACATTTCCTTACAATATGATAACAATGATTCCTTATTCTTAGTCCTTGGATACTGGATTTCATGGATCGATTGGGAAAGATTTGATCAATAAACACAATGAAACAACATTGGACATATGATTATGCGCTATCGCACTTTGTGCCAGCTCGCAGCAGAGTAAGTTACATGGTCTAAATCAAATTTTTCACACATGATAGCTTTAATGACAAGATTAGCATCAAGCAGAGTTAAAGGGATAAGTCTGTTATAGAGTTTTCAATATCTTAAAAACAATATTATAATATTTCTAGAAAATGGCGGGGTGGGTTGTTAACGAGAATAATTCCAACAATTATTAACGTCTGTACATTATGACGTCATAATAGCGCATAGTTAGACATTTCGTTGCAATATCTAAATCAAGACGTGTTTGGTCAATTCTCTGCAATTTACAAAAGTTTTTCTAAATTGCATTGTGCAAACGAGTTCATTTAGATTAAAAATAGGTAAGTGGAGAGAGTTTGGTTTGTTTGGTGTTGGTGTTCACCTTAATGTTCACTCCTCCAAATTCCAGAGCAAAAACAATTCATTTTTCACTTTAAATTTTCTTCTGTGTTAATTGTTGTCTTCAAAGTATTGACAATCGACGAAATTACAGAAATGTGTTGATTTTGAAATATTCAGGGTCAGGAAATATACAAAACTAAAACCCAACTTTCTTGAAAACTTTTCGGACAAAATAAAGTGTATTATCCGACCCTTGTTAACTTCGAAATTAGAATTTTTTTATCTGTGTATTTTTTTTTTTTAGATTCGATAATCATGGAACAAATTCATGAATATTTATTGAAGAATGGGTGGGTAAGAGGTGTGGTGACCCACGGTGAAATGACTGCTGCTTCTACAAACAACATAGACAAATGGTTTGCTGATTTCGAAAGCAGGAAGTTGAAACCAGTCAGTGGATTTGACGAGATTAAAGATGGCAAAGTTAAATATCTTGAAGAAATATTGACGATGATGCCCATAAAGAAACGGGCTCGCCAACTAGATAAAGGTAAATATTTCGAAGTAGTCCAAGAACTGTTAAGTAGTTGAGCCACAAGCTACCATCGATAGGTCATCTCTCCTCAACGCTCCAGTCACTGTCAAAGGTACTGGGAGCAAAAATCCACAGCTTTCATTGAATAATCTAAATTCATAGTTAATAAATTGCTGTGTTTTTCAGTAATGGTTGATGGAACAAACGTTCGTGAAAATTTGCTGAAACATGGATGGTTTGTTGTTTCTGCAGAAAGGCTCGATATATTTGGAGCAAGTGTACATCCATCCAATCAGAGCCAGAGAAGAGAGGAGGGGAAATTGGGCTTTGGAATGAATGCTAATTGCAATGAAAGCCACCAACTAGACAACATGCAAGAGCCCAAAGGAGATGTTGAAAAACTTCTGGACCTGATGGCTTCACAGAAAAAACCCAAGAAATCTGGTAAATGCCGGGGTAAGATTTGATTCCAATATATCCATCTGGACATCACTTTAGATGCAATTGCGGGTTAGTTCATAAGATGATAATTATGGACTATACTCTATCGAGGGTTCGCAGATCATGAGCTATGGCAACTCAGTAGAATTAGTTTTCATCCAAAGGATAGATGATCATGCTTCGGATAACCTGGTACAAAACAAAGTTGGGCCATTTTCTGTGTTGTTATAACCGATGGCTACTTTATTCATCGCTTGTTAAATATTGTATTCTAGGATCAGAAGAAATGGTAAAATTCCAGGAGAAATTGCTGAAACTAGGGTGGTTAAAAAAGGATGCTGCAGCATCGGATGGAAATTCGGTCGCTGATACGTCATTAGAGGATACTGACAAGATAACAAAACTTGATAGATGGTTTAAAGACTTTGAAGATAAGAGAAACCAAACCATCCAAACCATGAAATATGCTGTTCCTACTGCTGTAAATAAGGATATAGAAAAGCTTTTGGATATGTTTTCTTCAAAGAAAAGTTCTCTTCAAGCTTATCCAAATCATGGTAAGGATGGAATTTTTGGGGGTTGCATACATAGTCAATCATCTGTGCTCTGACATTACACTGTAAAATATTCACGTGGGTCCCAAATGAATTAACGTATTCATCATGTGGTCAATCACAATCTAGTTCACTTGCTCACTTTGCCCTGACGCCTAAATCCAAATGTTCGAAAAATAGCCTTTCCAAAATTACTTCTTTCCTGAAGAAAATGTTATATGGATACCAGAACTATGAATTCTTACTATTTTAGTTGTACAAGATATGATTATGATTGTTCTGTTAATTTGTAGAGCCACTGGACAAATTGAAATTTAGAGAGAGTCTTCTAGCAAATGGATGGTATGCTGCACCTAACAACAAACTGCCAGGACTTGCAGCTAATGCAGATGCCCTGGACAAACGTGAATCTGAAGCAAAATCCACGGAAAATGTCCAGATTAAAGCAGTTCAACAACGCATTGGCCAGTTAAACGAGCACCAGGAGGAGTTTACAAATAAAAGTTACATTGAACATGTTTTGAACATGGTTGGAGGAAAGAAGCCACAAGAAGAAGTAGCTAATCAAAAGGGTAAAACTATTTCTAATGAGTATGATAAAACATAATGTGTCCTTATCCGCATCTCGAAATAATTTGAAATTACAATGTCAAATCTATACGCCTAACGAACCATGCAGGTATCATGATTTGTAATTGCTTACATTTCTCCGGATTGCGAAGCCAAGAGAATAATATACCCGCTATCGACTTTTATATTATACATCGTTAATCTTATAATTATACTTTTTCAGGAAAGGTTGACAAGGAACAGTTAAAGAAGAGTCTTCTGACTAAAAACTGGTATACCATGGGAATGAAAACCATGAGTTCTATTGACCTCTCTGCTGAAAAACCAAATTTACTTGAAGATTTCAGCAGAACATCAGAGGAAATAAAATGTATTATAAATACACCAAGACAGGCTGATATAAATTACAGTGATAATGAAATTGACAAGAACTTTAATGATGTAGCTACTAAATCCCATGGTAGGTTCTATAATATATTTTTCTGATGATGGATTCTTTCCGAAACTCGTGTCAAATAAAATCTCAATCAAGTCAGTTTTTTTTTCAATGTCTATCAAATTTGAATAATATAATTATTTCATAATGATCATTTCAGAAAAATCATCAAAGAAAACCAGACACCATAAAGCAACCATCAACAGTCTTCAACAACAGAGCTGGCCAGTAAATGAGAAAAATCGGCATCAGACCACAGTGGTTAGAGTTCCAGAATCCACTTACAAGAATGACGATTCAACAGCATATAAGCCAGTTACCATCAAGAGAGATACTAGCAGGGATAGTATTAAACAGGATAGATTCTACAATCCAAGACAGAGTAGAAGAGACATATTTGAAGCCCAAAAGAAAAGCAAAATCACATCATTAGAAAGAGAAGCTCCTGTTACTGGTAAGCCAGCTTATTGTGTCTATTCTCAGATTTGAATCGTTCTCCTATCTGTTGTTATATATATTGCTTCCGCTGACATCGTAAAAATAGCCGTCTAATAATAAGGTGAAATTATATTATTATGGATAATTCATATTGATTTTTATAATTTTTTTTTAGGTGTGTCTCATAAGAAGACTTTGTTTGCAAGATTCATTCGAAGATCTAGAAAATTGATGGGAAGATTTTTCAAGTGTGGAAGAAAAGAGGAATAAATGAGTCCAAATATAGATTTTTTTGTGTGCAGAAAGTGCCTTGTATATACTATATGAGAGATATATTAAAAATTTATGTTTATGAAAGTATTTTATATTGAATAACATAAAGGGAATACGTTTTTCAGTATCCACACAACATTGAACTCACAGGCTGCAAAAAAAAATCCATTAAGACACATTAATTGATGGTCTCAAAAGGGAAAAGGGACCTTAAGTGGGAACCTGCAACAGGTATTCCACTCTAAAACTTGTATTTCTTCCCACTAATACTTCATTGCAGAAACTTTTGAAACATTTCAATCCTGGCAATAATGATTCGAATAACTTCATAAGTAGTCATTATGGCCGCAAAATCGGAATAATGAACGTTGACAGATCTAAAATCACAAGGATGAGGAAAGTATAGAGGAGCGGAATGAGGAAGGTATTAAGGGGCGGGATGAGGAAGGTAAAGAGGAGTGGGAGGAGGAAGGTATAGGGGGAGGAGCGAGAGGAGCAAGGTATGGAGGGAGTGGAAGGAGGAAGGTATAGAGGGAGTTGCGCGGGTTGAGGAAGGTAAAGAGGAGCAGGATAAGGAAAGTATAAATGAGCGGGATGAGGAAGGTATTTAGGAGCGATATGAGGAATGTATAAAGGAGCAGGATGAGGAAGGTATAGAGAAGCGGGATGAAGAAGGTATAGAGGAGCGGGATAAGGAAGGTATAAAGGAGCAGGAGGAGGGAGGTTTAGAGGGAGGAGCAGGATGATGAAGGTATAGAGGGAGGAGCGGGATGAGGAAGGTATAGGGGGAGGAGCGAAAGGAGGAAGGTATAGAGAGCCGGGATGAGGAAGATATTGAGGGGCGGGACAAGGAAGGTATAGAGGGAGGAGCGGGATGAGGAAGGTAAAGAGGAGCAGGATGAGGAAGGTATAAAGGAGCAGGATGAAGAAAGGTATAGAGTAGTGGGAGGAGATAGGTATAGAGGAGCGGGATGAGGAAGGTATAAAGGAGCGGGATGAGGAAGGTATTAAGGGCAGGATGAAGAAGGTAAAGAGGAGCGAGAGGAGGAAAGTATAGAGGGAGGAGTGGGATGAGGAAGGTATAGAGGAGCGGGAGGAGGAAGGTATAGAGGAGCGGGATGAGGAAGGTAAAGAGGGAGGAGCGGGATGAGGAAGGTATAGGCTGAAATGAAGCTCTATTTCATGATATACATGTATGTACATTTCCTTACAATATGATAACAATGATTCCTTATTCTTAGTCCTTGGATACTGGATTTCATGGATCGATTGGGAACGATTTGATCAATAAATGCAATGAAACGCAATTGATCATACGATTATGCGCTATCGCACTTTGTGAGTTACAGGGTCTAAATTAAATTCTTCACACATGATAGCTTTGATGAAAAGATTAGCATCAAGCAGAGTTAAAGGGATAAGTCTGTTATAGAGTTTTCAATATCTTAAAAACAATATTATAATATTTCTAGAAAATGGTGGGGTGGGTTGTTAACGAGAACAATTCCAACAATTATTAAC